TGACGTGACCTCTGACTTGGATTTTATGAATCCCTAAGAGCCATTTATTCAGCTGAAAATCTTCTTTAGATATAGTCACCTATATCTTGGATGGCCTGAGGGTGAGTAAATTAACAGCATATTTTCATTTTTGGGTGAACTATCCCTTTAATTTATTTCCAGGCATAGCTGCTTGTCTCTGACTAAACTGCATTTGGAGAGTGGCTCACATTGTTTGAATCCTTGCAAAACGTTGAAATACAGTGGACAGAAACAAGTGACGTTCTGTGTGAGTAAAGTTCAAGTGATAAATCAGAAGGGACAAATACTTAATTTAAAACAGCTGGAACATCCCCTGCTCCTCCAGTCATTGTCTAGTTACAGTAGTAAACTTCTGCAGCTAGCATACTGAGATGCTCACGTTGAGGAATAATCATACTGCGAACTCGGATCCAAAAGGGAGGGAGTACGACTGAATTTGGATTTGGATCAAGCAATCAAAAAAACAGCTTCAGTCAGTGTCTGTGAAAAGACCATGAGTGCCCTTACGAAAAAGATACTACTGTTATACTTAAAAGTATACTTTTATATACTAGAAAGTGGGCCAATTTAGTCCCAAGGAGTATTGAAATAGTACACTTACAAGTATTCTACTAGTACACTGATATTTGTGTACTTACTACATAAAGTATACTTAAAAATATACTTGAACTTTACTTAAGTATACTTACTAAAATAAACTTGAAGTATACTACTTTTTGGTAAGGGTGTGAAAGAAAAAGGCCTGTCTTCCTCATATTGTGTGTGACATAAACAGATATGATGGATGGCCCATAGTTTATTTGAATATATATTTTTGCTTTGGTTTTTTGGTCGGTCAAGGTACAATAACCAGATGAAATACAAGTGCAAAAGCAAATAAGGATAGAGACAGCAAGAAGTGGGTAGGTGTGTGTCAACATAACTTTGCACCTCAGAGTGACAGCTAGGATTTATCGTTTCACTGAATCATATCATTTCATTTTTGCAAGGCCGTCGTTTCATGCAAATCGCCGGAAGAGGGGCTTAGAGAGGGATTGCTTGATGTCTGTGTATATTAGAATGGCATGAACTGTCATCTAAAGCACATGTGAAAACAAAATCCTGAGATAAGGACAATCAGCATTAGTTAAACAGCAATTTTATTGTGAGATTCAATTCATATAAGTTTATTTACAAAGAACCTTTGAGCCATTATCTTCATCTTTCATCTGCTACATCGCAAATATATATAAATAAATTGCGAATTACACAACATTAAAAAATAATTCTAATGCATCACAGCACAATTTGGTTGGTATCAACCAAAGTTTTGGTACATAATGTTTTTAAATTTAAACACATCTGTTAATACAAACAAGTATAACATTTCACAAAAACAGATCCACAAATATACATGTTCATAAGTACTGTATGTTACATTGTAAATGGTTTGCTGAGTGAAAGTCTGTTTTTAGTCTTTTCTCAAAATGTACTGGGTAAAAGCATTCATGCTTATGTAAATATAATGATTAAAACCTATAAGGAGGGCTGGCTGATCAACACTAGTGGCTGTTTTTGTAACACCCTCCCATAGACAATCATACTTTGATGTGTGAACTGAGACCCCAGAAGAAAAACTGGACTGTTGATTTTGTTGTCTGTGTGTTTGTGCTGCATGTGGAAAATAAAATAAAAAGTCAACTAAATAATTAGGCACCACTTGACTATAGCATTCTGACTCATTTATCTTTCCCTTGTTAAGAAAAGTTCTGCGTTCAAAACAAGTTTCAGTATCTGCAGGCTGTTGCCACAGACAATAATTTCGAAATAAATAATACAGTCATGCTGTCAGCCCTGCCCACCGTGAACTTTTATTGGTCAAAAATCTTGCTCAGATACCTTCTAGCTGCGATCTTGCATTCTGTTTCTGTGTAGTGGACAAATTGCTTGTTGCAATAAACAAATGCACTTTAATGCAATATGAAAGGGGTGTAAACATGGAAATGCGAGTTTAATGTTGTTAAGCACTTTAGTGCAAAAATTTGTGCCCTAGCAATGGAACTATTTTTCTCGGTGGATGAATTTCTGGTTATGCATTACAGATGTAATTCCTATGAGTGACTCTTCATATAAACAGTCCCTTTCTGGTACATATCATGTTAATGGCTTTTACATGATTTTCATAAGAATATACACAGTGCTTTTCAGCATTTATGCCATGTAATGCCTTTTAGACTTCCATCATTAATGTATTATTGTTTGTTTTTATACGCTGAAGAACTGGTCAAAATGATTCTCTATTGCAAGAGAGAACATGTATTGAATGCAGAATATTCCTTTAACAAAAACAACACTATCGCAGTTGAATGCGGTTATATTTTACAAAAAATTCTCAATCCTAAATTCAAGCAGGATCCACACAGAAGCCCATAGTACTAATTAAATGTGGCATTCTCATTTCCTGCAGACAATTTAGGTTAAAAGGAGTCATTTAGTTCTACAGTGGACAGGCATATACCTTCCATGTCAATAGAAATACATCAGCAAACCCATAACTTGTGTGAGTCATCGCTTTTTAAAGCAGCTTTGTGCTCGATTTTCCTTCAAGAAATTGGAAAACATGGGGGAATAAGAGGATGTTTTCATGTTGATATGACATCATACACCTCTAATGTGTTGGCTGTAATTCTACAAGTGACATTTTAAAAGGCAGATGAATTACTCTGTGTTATATATATATACATCATATGTGTCAGGTATTTTTCTTACATAGAAGAATATAGATTTTTCTTGAAATTACATTCATATGGCATGGTGATTGCAAATGTGACAGCTTTACAGATGACAACAATATACAGTAGAAAGCACATTTCCATTACTGTTTTTTTTTTTCTTTTTTCACGTACACATCTATGTTGTCATATTTGCACATGCCAACCCATTACTAGGGTTAAGTTTCTAAAAAGTGAACCAGCAAGTGAACAATTCACTTTGATCCGTCAAATCCTGTCAACAATAATTCTTTGTTATGTATTTTAGATGAAATACATTCATAATATTTTCAAAGTATTGGACTGACAGAACATCCCGCAAGGTTTAATGGAGGAGATAATACAGATCTTTGTGTTGAAACATTCATACCGCAGGGGTAGAAACACCTCCCTGTCTTCGTGCTGTTGTTAGTCTGAAGGAGTGCCACCACACTGTTCCTCTGTGCAAATTACTTTCAGATGAAAGGAGAAGCAATTTGCTGTTAACACTTTCTAGAGCCATTTGAGTGCACAACCCACCTGTAAGTTCATACGAGATGGTGGCTGCTTAAAGATTAGAGAGCACAAATTTGTCATATGGTAACATCTGAAACTGTTTCATGGTGAGGAACCTTCTTCTATGATGAGCAAAACTGCATATAGTCATCTTTCCTACAAATGGAGAGGCATCCGCACAGCAAGATCCAGAAATATTGGTGCAAATGTTCCTGCTTCAAGTATAAGTATATTCAGTTGTTATTCTCTTGTTGAAGATGCATTGATGAAGATGATGAGAAGATCTTCCAAACATGAAGAGCCCCACTTGTCTGTGCTCTTTTATTGCAGTTCACAACATAGAATTTAGCTAGGTCAAATTGTTGAGAAGTTGCCACCAGAACAATTTTCATTTAACACAGGGACATGACATCAAGACCTTGAGAGTGAAACAAAGCACTTGCTAGTGTAAGCCAGCATAGATGGGAGACACCGTGTTGACAAGCAGATCGGACATGGCAAGGTGTGCCATGAAGAAATCGGTGATGGTATGAAGTGTCTTAAATTTGGAAACCACACAAATCACTAGGAAGTTCCCGCTACGATAAATCCTCCATAGTTTTGAACTGGCATTAGGAATCCTATCAGTATCCTCACCTAAAGCATAAAAACAGAGAGAAGGGCAATTTAGATAGATAGATAGATAGTGTGGGAGAGTTTGGAAGACAGACAGACAGACAGACAGATAGACAGATAGATAGATAGATAGACTAGTGTAAGCCAGCATAGATGGGAGACACCGTGTTGACAAGCAGATCGGACATGGCAAGGTGTGCCATGAAGAAATCGGTGATGGTATGAAGTGTCTTAAATTTGGAAACCACACAAATCACTAGGAAGTTCCCGCTACGATAAATCCTCCATAGTTTTGAACTGGCATTAGGAATCCTATCAGTATCCTCACCTAAAGCATAAAAACAGAGAGAAGGGCAATTTAGATAGATAGATAGATAGTGTGGGAGAGTTTGGAAGACAGACAGACAGATAGACAGATAGATAGATAGATAGATAGATAGATAGATAGATCACCTCAGACATCTGTTGCATTGAGATGTGTCGTCACTATATCTTGGGCTTCTAAAGCCTTTTTGGGTTTGCTGCGAACCGCTGTGGCAGCCTGGCCCTCGGCGTGCAATGAATCAAGCCGTTCCTTGCAACTGAAGACCGCAACAAAGGCGCTGCGGTAGTTCCGGTTCATCCAACCATACAGCAGTGGGTTGGCAAACGTTGAGCACATGGCCACAATGTGGAAAACAGTGTAAAGAAGCCTGAAGTCCTTCATGTCCAACACGTTGTGGTCAATGTCAATGGCAAGCTGGAAGGCGTGGAAAGGCAACCAGCTGACCGCAAACACCACGACCTGCAACAGACAGGGTGAGATGTTACATCTGCACAAATGCTGCATCAGTACTGCTCAAGCCGCAATTAAAGCCTGATCTACATTCTGGTCTAGTTCTCTGTTTATATTATTGGCATTATAACATCTTTCAAAATAACTGTGGAGAAAATAGCTCTAAAATATTTGGGTTACAGAAGATTGCTTCTTGTGTGGAAATGCTCTTGGGATAGATGCATGCTGTTCTAGCAGTCCTGGCCCTAAACAATAAAAAAATTGAAAGTACACACAAAATAAAAATGTGCAAAGTCCTTGATGTGAATATCAGAAGTATCAACTGTAGAAGTCCAGGTATTAAGTCTATCTATCTATCTATCTATCTATCTATCATGTGTGTGTGTATACACCTTCCAAAGGTGTAACATGCTTTTCAGGAAGTTATTTTAAAGGGGTCATATGATGTTGCTAAAAAGAACATTATTGGTGTAATGAAATGTGTTTATGCGGTTTAAAGTTCAAAAAACACATTATTTTCCACATACTGTACATTATTGTTTCTCCTCTATGCCCCGCCTTTCTGAAACGCGTCTATTTTTACAAAGCTCATCGGTCTGAAAAGCAAGGGCTTGAGAACGGCGTGGCCAGCGGATTCGACGAAGGAGCGTCCAGCGGGCTTGCGGAAACCACATGTGACGACCCCGGGCTGGTCTTTGGATTTGAGACTTTAGTCTTTGCAACTTTACAGATCTTCTTTATGCACCAAGAGCTTGTAACACTCCAAAGAGAAAGGAAAAATATAAATCGCATCATATGACCCCTTTAACACTTTTATTATGTAAATGATGCATTAAATTGATAAAAAGTGACAGTAAAGACTTTTGAATTCTGTTTCAATAAATGCTCTTTTGAATTATCTATTTATTAAAGAATCCTGAAACAAATGCTATAATATTAAGCAGCACAATTGTTTTCAACACTGATAATAGTAAGAAATGTTTCTTGAGCACCAAATCAGCATATTAGAATGATTTCTGAAGGAGTTATGGCTGCTGAAAATTCAGCTTTGCATCACAGGAATAAATTACACTCTAAAATATATTCAAATAGAAAACGGTTATTTTAAATTATAATAACATTTCACAATATTACTGTTTTTACTGGCATTGAGAGCCATTATAAAAACCAATTTTGGTCAACCACTAGATGTTAGTCATCGTTTTCATTATCAGGCTTTTTGCTGTCATGTGAATGCCTATAATAATATGAAGATACAGGAACACTATGATATAATATTTGTTCAGGAAAGCTGGGAACTGTACACACCATGGTAACCAACATCTTGGTGGTCTTGCGGCGACGATGATGCCTGTCGTTGTGACCAACTGGGCTGACGTGATTGCGGAGTTTACTCCAGATACGGATGTAGGCAAAAGAGATGATTGCCAGAGGCAACACATATTGCAGCAGCAGCGTGGAGATTCTGAAGAAAGAAAACAGCCATCATCGGCATAAGTGCTGAAGAGTGTCATTATGTCATTGTTAAAGAAGCTTTCATAAAACATGTAATCTTGCTCCAAAATTAAACAAGCTATGACTCATTTTAGCTGTAATTTATCTGTTACAGAACAAACAAGATTTCAAAGATGAAAATAGATTGTAATAATAATCTTGAATCTAAATCTAAATAATTCACAGTAATCAACCTCTCTGAAAATGTTTCAGAAGTTTGTCAAAATCTAGATGATATCTGTTTACATAAATATCAACATTTAATCTTCATAAATTTGTATATTTATTATCTATAAAATATACAGATCTTTGTGCTTTCGGTGCAATTGGAAGACAGTGACATTTGATAAATGAGCACAGCATACATTTGTGGCTCCTTGAGGGCCAGAGGAAACTGTAATAATGCAGTTCATTAAAATATGCATGTCTGGTACTCACGAGTATAGAGTGCTGTCTGTACTACTGTCAGGCCACTTCTCTCCACAAACCTCAATGGAGTTATCTGGAGAAAGATCTACGATTCCATACTCCCTAAATATGGCCAGTGGGCTTGCCAGAATGGCACTTACCACCCAGGTGATGGCAATGACCAGAAAGCAGGTGTCCTTTGACATTCGAGTGTCTAGGTGATAAACAATGCATCTATGCCGATCCAATGCAATTACGTTTAATGTAATAGTAGAGACGTGGACGGCGAGACCTTGAGCGTATGGCAGAGTGAAACAAAGCACTTGTCCAAACTTCCATTCCCTGAGGAGAGTGTAAGCCAGCGTGAACGGGAGACACAACGTGTTGATGAGCAGATCAGCTATGGCTAGGTTTGCAATGAAGAAGTTGGTGACGGTACGGAGTGTCTTAAATTTGTAAACCACATAAATCACCAGGGAGTTCCCCACAACGCCCAAAAGGATGATGGTAGAGTATGCCAAGATCAGGACCACCTGCACCCCAAGAAGCTTGGTACTGTCTCCTAGCTCTAGCAACGGATGATTCAGAGTCACGTCAGATGAATCCTCCCCGATGGCCAGCTCTTTGCTCCCAGAGGAGCCATTGATTAAGCTGAGGGAATCCATTTATCACATGGCCATGTCAGATTTTAGAGAAAGACCAAGCAACCCTTAGGTTTGACAACCTGAAAACACAGGTTTGATTTGACATTATGAATCTGATAGATAGATAGATAGATAGATAGATAGATAGATAGAAAACATTGTATGACATCAACAAAATTCATAAAAGTATGCAATGGACATGCATTACAAAGAGGGAACAGTTTGGACTGTCATGAAACTGATGATACTGTTTATTGTCAGACTTAAAGAAATAATCGTTTTTTCTGGAAATATTTCCTTAAATAATTATAAGTAAATTTCTCATTTCTAACCTCACCATATATTAATACAAATACATTAAATATTAGTCTATTTCAAATTCACATGCATATCTTACAAGTGATTACCGGATAATACGGTTCTCCTTTCCGGAGTCTAAATATTGTATATCTTTTCAGAGAGAGAACATCTTGGCGAGACCATATTGTTTTATTTACACCAGCGAAAGAAGGCGTATCGACTTCTGGGGTAACTTGTCAGGTCACTTTCATTGATGTATAATGTACTCTGCGCGTTAAGAGCTCATTACGCACGGCTTGCCTGCGCTCGAGCACACTCCATCGTCTTTTTCTGAGAGACGAATAGGTACATGGCGAAACCATTATCACTAGGAGACATAAACACAGACTGGAGTCCGTGGAAACTTCATGGAACACTTCCCAGTTCACGGACACTGACGGCGCAATGGTCCGTGAAGGAGCGCACAAGGCGCACCAATTAAACGAAGAAACTGAGAGGCGTATTATTAATGCCCGTTTTAAAGGAATGATGGAAATGCGGGTTTGGACTTAAAATGAACTATATTAGAATGACTTACCGATTCCCAGGCAGTGTTTTCACCTCGCCGTCTCCAATAATACGTAGTGCGCCTCAGGATACATCACCATCAGTTAAACAGAAATCTTTTGAAATGTTATGTAGCTATATTTATAAATTGACATACAATAAACAAGTACATCTTCTTCTGTTTCCTTTTTCAATCAATATGTTTTCCTGAAGGAAAGGTTGAGGTTCAGGTGAGGTGGGCTGTGGAGCTCAACCGTCTCTGACGCTCGCGACTGAATTACATCCATTCACACAAGCCAAACCCACAAGTTCAGAGTTCTCGACAGGGAAGAGAGGGAGAGAGATGAATCCCGATGGCTAGGTTCAGTTTAGGTTTAATAAAACAAAAATCATAAAGCGTGCATAACTTATGCATGCACTATTCAAAAATCGTCATATCTGTTGGGTAAATGAAAACAACATTAAAACAATATATTTTAGGCTATATGCTGCAATTTTACATCATTTATTCATTGTATGTATTTCCTGGTCAAAACAATGATTTGATATCTCGTATGTTACCTTCAATATTTTTGGTGCTTTATTCAATCTGTATATATATATATATATATATATTAATTACTAATTAATTATATTTAGTTTAAAATATAACACAATATTAACTACTTATTTACTGAACCGCTGTATAAAATCACATTTGCACTCGTTATATTCGGGACAAACAGCACTCGTGTGAGATTGCTCTCGCTGCTCGTATGATATCGCTTATCATGTGATATAAATACGAGACCAAAAATCATGCAGGAATTTTTATATATAAATAAATAGTAATAAATATAATATCAAAATATAATAACTTCAAAAATATTGAAGTTAACATACGAGATATCAAATCATCTATCTACATACATACATACATACATACATACATATATACAGTGCTGCTTGAAAGTTTGTGAACCCTTTACAATTTTCTATATTTCTGCATGAATATGATCCAATTCATCATCAGATTTTCGCACAAGTCCTGAAAGTAGACAAAGAAAACCCAATCAAACAAATGACACAAAAATATTTTCTTTGTCATTTATTTATTGAGAAAAATGACCCAGTGGTACATTTCTGTGCAGTGCAAAAGTATGTGAATCTTTGCTTTCAGTATCTGGTGTGACCCAATTTTGCAGGGTTTCCTCCTATGAACTGCTTGCTTCAGCTTCTTCCACAACATTTCAATTGAATCAAGGTCCAGACTCTTACTCAGTCATTCCAAAACATTAACTTTGTCCTTCTTTAAAGGGGTCATATGATGCTGCTAAAAAGAACATTATTTTGTGTATTTGGT